CATGAGCACGTCGGGCTCTAAAGTTGATGCCGACGCAGTCTAGATTTCACGACCACGTCGGGCTCTAAATTTGATGGTCTAGATCTCGCGACCACGTCGAGCTCTAAAGTTGATGCCGACGCAGTCTAGATTTCACGACCACGTCGGGCTCTAAGTTTGAAGCCAAAGTGGTCTAGATCTCATGACCACGTAGAGCTCTAGATTTGATGCCGACATGGTCTAGATCTCACGACCACGTCGGGCTCTAGATTTGATGCCAACGTGGTCTAGATCTCGCGACCACGTCGGGCTACCCAACTCGCGATGAGACTAGCTCCTTCTTGGAGACTTAGTGATTTGGGCTTAAAAATTATTATCATGAGGCCCAGTTCAAATAACATTAATTGTCATTAATAATCTGGCCTTATAAAGATAATAAATGTCTTGTAAATAATCAATGTGGTACAGGATTATTTTTTAGGTGTAAACAAATGCCCCCCAACTACTTAGTGCATAAAGAATTATGGACTAAGTAGTTGAACACCACCAAGCTAGCCAAGTAACGTGTTGGCTTATCAACACACCAATTTTACTTCGCCAAAATTTTGACTTTTAGTAATCAAGCCAACACGTCTAGATGGAACTCGTCGTCATAACTTGTCACATGACTTAGTTAAATTTTGACTATCACGTTAAGCGAACATGGCGAGATGGAACTCGACGTCAAAGTTTAGCCCTTGCCTTAGCGAAATTTTGGTTTTTCACGTCAAGCCAACATGGCGAGATGGAAATTGACGTTAAAACTTGTTCCATGCCTTAGCCAAATTTTGGCTTCTAATGATCATGCCAACATGGCCGGATAGAACTCGACGTCAACGACTTGTCCCATGCCTTAGCCAAATTTTGGCTTTTAATGGTCAAGCCACCTAATGCATTCAACGAGACACCAACCTCACTTTATCACCTACACCCTCATTGACATTTCGTACTTTGCCACATGGTTGAGGGAATAACTTAGAATTTTTCGCACCTATTTTGGCATTGATTGGCTCATCTCACCTCGTCACAAGGCTAGACAGCTCCCTCGCGACAAGTCAAGTCGTCTACTTTTTTGCCTTAGACAAACTAATGTTCATTTTTATGTTGGTAGAGACATTATGGTCACCACTCCTCTACTACCACGTTTCAATCCATCATGCCCCCCAGGCCGTGACTACTCGGGACAAGATAAGATGGCATGGCATGGCCTGATGTATGGCTCGTCATGTCAAGCCATCACAAAGACTTGGTGGCAAGATCTTCATGTTGAAGTCTAACAACTCTGACTCAAGATTTTCACTTTGATATTTTCCTTCTATCATTTCTTTTAGCCATGGTTGGCTACAATATTTTTTTTTATAACTAATATATAATAAGTACATTATATAAACTTATTTATTTTATATGGCAAGAAGTGGCAAATGTCACTGCTCTCCATAGCCTTTGGAAACAATCAATGTACCAAAGGTGTATACCCATTGCCAAGTCCATGGATCAAACCAGACATGCCATCCATAGACCACATGACTCTTTTCCTCCATGGGAGATGAATCTTCATACATTAACTTTGAATTTTCTAGCTTACTAATGGGTGGTACATAGTCCACCTGTCTAGTTTTGGTGGCCTTGCATGAGGTCTCATGCTTCTTTGCTTGGGCCACCTTACTTGACATGTCAAGGCTATCATGATTATTCTTCTGCCTTGATTTTCTCCCACTTGATAAATGCTTAATCTCCTCACGATGTTGGGGACCAGGTCTAGGCTTGACAAGTTGACAACCACTCGTGTAGCTTCCTTGTCTTCGTCTTTCAATATATAAACCTTGTTGGCCCCTACACTTAGCACTCAACCACCATTGATTCTTTGTGCATCCATGTTTGGTTGGTGTGTATGGTGACTTCTTATACATGCCCCCATGTCCACTCTTTGTAGTTGGTGTCGAGTACTTACTATTCATTGACATGGACTTGCCCCCCAATCCACCCTTGTCCATAATCTCACGCTTACAAAACCCATGTGGGGGTTTGACTTGTTGTGTCTTCTTGAAGATACCCTCTACTCCATTCTTCATGGTGGGTGACATGCTCCCTTGTCCAGACTTAGTCAAATTAGCATGCTTATCGCAAACATGTGTGACTTGCACTTCATATGGCTTCTTGGACATGTCTTGTCCATACTTAGCCAAATTTTCAAATCTACAATAACTTTTTATGGCTTTCTCACGTCGTGACTTGTTAGATATGCCCCCCTTTCTAGACTTAGCCAAATTAATATGTTTAGCACAAGCATGTGTTGCTTGTGATTGATGTGAGCTATTAGACACCACATGCCCCCCATATGGACATCTCGGCGTCAACTTGTGGGAAATTAGACTTTCATGCCCCCCTTGCTGAGCTCTAGGTGTTTTGAGTCCATCAGAATCGCCTATTTGTCCACTCAATAGTGGTGGCTTTGGGGGTGGGCAAGCATGTGGTGGTACTTGTTCCACGTTTAACGGATCTTCACCATCTCGTCCATTGACAAGTGTTTCATCTGATCTTGTCTCGAGAACGAGTGGTTGAACATCATCTTGTACATGCAAGACCCCATCACTGTTGTTCAAAGTGGAGGTGGACATCTCACCACAGCCCTCACGTAGAGGGGGCGGCTGAGTTGCCACTGGAGATAACAAGTTCTCTGTTCGTGGCTGGGTATACCGACCACAGGAGGGAGAAAGATTTTTGCACACAATTTTATTATTTGGTGTTGGTTCTAAACCATTTTGCGGCAAAACCATTGATTGCGACACTGGTTTTATTAACAGTTGCCCAAAATCTCTCACATCATTTTTACTTATCTCCAAAATCTTATCCACACGTCTATCAAAACTTGAATAAAAACAATCAAGTTGAGATATTATCTTATTGGTACCTGCCAAGGCCTTCTCCATGCATCGGCGGTTCTCCTCCATCACTTGGCGGTTCTCCTCCAAGGCTAGACGGTTTTCTACCACCATTTTGCGGTTCTCCTTCAAGGCTTGACGGTTCTCTGCAAGCATCTTGCGATTCTCCTCCATCATCTGACGAAGGGCCCCCACGGCTTCACCAAGATCTTCACTAGGCGTGGTCGCCACCAAGATCTCTGCTCCACCATTTACTCCGGTCACCGCCTCTAATGCTTGGCCATGCTCGATGTTGGCCACCTGCTCCTCCACGAATCTAGCCGGAACGTTACCTTCTTGATTCCTCCGCCTCGGAGCCATCGAATCGACCACAAGGGTCCCACCAGGTGTGCCAAATTTGTTCTCCTGTGAGAAAAACTTGCGTTGAAATGAATTGAATGCACCTTGACTTCTTCGGACAACGATTAACTAAACACAGTTCACACCTCTTCAAACACAGTTCGAACAAGGGTGATCGATGTTTACACGACGCTCGAGACAAATCTACATTGAATTACTCCTACTCCTATGGAGGTTCTGAGAGAGCTCCAAATCTACGACTATTGATAAAAGTTGCAGAGGAAAGATAAAAATTGATAAAACTTGACAGGTGATGTCAGGTGGTGATTTTCGCGACCCTCTCCTCTGTCGACTCATCCTCCTATTTATAGCCCTTGAGATGATAACCGTCGTAGAAACTGTCATAGAGTAACTTCCAAAAAGAACTGCTCTCCTTCTTTCTCGAACATGGTTGACGTGTCATTGCACGTGGGATACACGGCGGTTTCTCCGTTAACCGCCTGCTCTTCATCCTGTAACTGTCGTCTTGTTACTTGTCTCTCCCACATGACTTGACTTCTTACTTCCAACCTGTTAGCTCGGATCTTGGACATGGTCTCACGATGTGGTCTAGATCTCGCGACCACATCGGGCTCTAAATTTGACGCCAACGTGGTCTAGATCTCATGACCACGTAGAGCTCTAAGTTTGAAGCCAACGTGGTCTAGATCTCATGACCACGTAGAGCTCTAAGTTTGAAGCCAACATGGTCTCGATCTCATAACCACGTCGGGCTCTAAATTTGATGCCGACATGGTCTAGATCTCATGAGCACGTCGGGCTCTAAAGTTGATGCCGACGCAGTCTAGATTTCACGACCACGTCGGGCTCTAAATTTGATGGTCTAGATCTCGCGACCACGTCGAGCTCTAAAGTTGATGCCGACGCAGTCTAGATTTCACGACCACGTCGGGCTCTAAGTTTGAAGCCAAAGTGGTCTAGATCTCATGACCACGTAGAGCTCTAGATTTGATGCCGACATGGTCTAGATCTCACGACCACGTCGGGCTCTAGATTTGATGCCAACGTGGTCTAGATCTCGCGACCACGTCGGGCTACCCAACTCGCGATGAGACTAGCTCCTTCTTGGAGACTTAGTGATTTGGGCTTAAAAATTATTATCATGAGGCCCAGTTCAAATAACATTAATTGTCATTAATAATCTGGCCTTATAAAGATAATAAATGTCTTGTAAATAATCAATGTGGTACAGGATTATTTTTTAGGTGTAAACAAATAGCAAAAACAAATTTTCAGCCGTGATGAGAGTGACGTGTAAAAAAGACAAGACCGTTTGTTATCGTGGGAATTGTTTTGTGCTGAATAAATCCAGTAAAACTCCAAAGAGAAGAACCATTTCTACCTGCAGAAGGGAAAAAATAGCAACTTTCTCGTCACTTTCTCTCGCAGATTCCCCCGAGAAAATCACCAGCCGATGTTGAGCTTCGACGGCACTAGAGGCTCTCTCCATCGCCTTGAAAGCCAGCTATCCAATCCTCTCTCCCGCAGTCTGATGTAGTCCTTCCTAGGTAAGCACCACTGTACTTCCTCAGTGATCATTTCTGCACTGCGATTGATTTGGGGGGCGGGCTAGGTCGTGTTTCTTTGCGTCCCTCCCAATGTTCTGTGCCTCCAACTCGGAATTCCAGTTGCATCCCAGTTCAGATTTAGGGTTTTCAGCGCTGTTGTGGGAATCGGTAGAGTGGAATTGGGGTCGTGATGATGCCACCAAAGAGAAAGAAGTGGACGGAAGCAGAGGAGAAAACCCTAATTGCCAAGTACGGCGAAATGGTCTCCAATGGTACCCTTGCCAAGATGAAAACGCGGGAGAAGAAGTTCCGACCGATTGCCCTGTTTGTGAACTCGGTCCACCATGCGCGCGATCCGATTGCCTATCCCTGGCAGTGGACGTGGAAAGATGTGTCCACTAAGGTCCAGAACATGCGGCATCAATACTTGTTGGTCAAGCAGAAGGTGGTGAAGAAGCCCAACTTCTCCATGGCTGTGGATAGTGCTGAAGCTGGCAGTAGTGGTGTGGGAGAATTTTCAGAGGGAGATGAGTTTGACTGGGTGGAAGGCCTTACTCACTGGTCCAACTTCCTGCTCTACAAGGAAGTATTTGGGGATTTGCCCATTTCTTATGGAACTAATGGGAATGAGTTGATGGGAGTGTTGAATGAGGATAGGGAGAACGGAGGAGGGAGAGGAATGGGAAGTTTGTTGGGAGGTAGTAGGAGAGGGTTGGACATTATGGAGTTTGGTCATTTGGGGAATGCAGCTGATGGAGATTTCGGTGCGATTGATGGGACCGAGAACGGGGTGCTAGGGTTAGGATTTGATTATGAAGGAGAAGAACAAGATGAGCAGCATTGCAATGGCATTGACCGGGTTAGGGAGAATAGGGATGTAGGTTTCATTAACGAAGAAGTGGAAGTGCCTGCTCCTAGTAATAGTACGAGGAGGAATAAAAGGAAGAAGAAGGGATTGGAGAAGAGGCTGTTAAGTTTTCTCTCAACTCAAGTAGGGCATTTGAGAGAAATCGAGTCACGGTTTGAGCAGCGGGAAGCAGAAAGGGACCGGGAGAGGCAAAGAAGGGATATTGCACAAATGGAGAGGCAGCAGGAGTTGGAAAGGAAATTGGAAGAGAGGTTGAAGGAAACAGAAGAGAAGGAGAAAAATAGGGAAAACTTGAGAAGGCAGAGAATTCAAGAATGGGAAGCAATGGAGAAAGAGAGCGAAGACAGGGAAAGAAGAAGAAGAGATGAAGAGGTTCTGGAAGAGAGGGAGTGGCAGGAGAGGATGACCAGGAGGAGGTTGGAATGGAAGAAGAGGGTCGATGGGATGTTAAACCAGCACAGAGAAGAAATGGGGCAGATCCAGAGTCGGCTTCTTCACGAGCAGCAGAATCTCACAAGCCAGTTGCTGGGGATCGTTTCACATTGGGGTGGTCATCCAGCCGGTCTCTCGGACCACGCAGCGAGTGCTAACAACCATTACCTTTCCCAGATGATGCAGAATTTGCACCATGTTAATGGTATGGTTCATGGCGACACCAGAGTGGATGGAGATGCTCAAGATGACCAATTCATTGTGGATGGATAAATACAATCCTACATTCCACGATCCCGTCTAGTGAGGAGCTGAGACAAATTGTGTTGACGAAGTGTAAAAAAAGAGTTGAGGCAGAGAGAGAGAAACTGATGATTTGTGAAAATGCAACAAATTGTTCTTGTTCTTGTTCATGTACTATTATTGTATTTGATTAGATATGGTTGTATAAATCACTATGTTTAGTGCAAGGTTTGTTATAGCATCTGTATCCTTAGCCATCTCCATCTCTCAATAAAGAAGCAGATTTTCTTTTGACTGGTGTTCAGAGTCCCCTTTTTTTCTGCCGCTTTCCTCCTACTCTATGTGGCCTTGAATCAGTCTTGGCCTCCATTGGTTAGAAATTACAACTTTTTTGGATTGGTTTGCATGTTGAATTTGAATTGGAGCACCAAATTCACTAGTAGAGGTTTGCAAATTCTGTGGGGCCATAATTTGGAAACGTTGAGGTTACTTGTGGATTTTGAAACTTCGTTGATTTTAATGTCTGTCAGTGTTAATATCCATTTAGCATTTAGTTTGATATACTAATTAAGTTGATTTAAAAAATTTAGTGTCTTTATGTCATATAACACATTATGTTCAAGTTAGATTTTCTCATCTAAATAAAACTTGATTCTTTGTGCAGTCCAAAGGAAAAAAAAGCTAGACCTGTAAAGAACTTTCAAACAGCAGCAGACTGTAAACTCGATCAAGGCTACTATTGAACCAAATGTCAACTTAAAAAAACTGGCGTTTTTTATGGTTAAGTCAAAAGTTCAAAACAGAATTGAAAAGTCCTCTTGTATAAAAATTGCACTAATCTACATGGATGGGGGGAAATGAACAGAAATTACAGAACAGAACTAGAAATCACAATTATAGAACTCTTCACTAAAATACCTAATCTTATATCATCATCTAAGGTCCCCCCGATTGCTCTCCACCTTATCTAGGAAGTTGTTTACAGACTCTCAGAGCTGGGAAAATGGAGAAGAAAAGGTATGGCTTTCTAAAGTTTCTCGCTGGTCCCAAACCAGGGCCACCTTCCTAACGTCTTTGATCAGTTTGCTGTGCAACCCACTTGTTCTGTACAACTGAAAGAGATCAAAATCCAATTACCCTGATCCTGGAAATCCAGTAATCAATTTTCCTAAGCAGCAGTTTCTGGGGCTCTGTTGTTTGTGTCTCCAAAGACAGGTGCTTCTTCATCTGGTTTTGGAGTATTCCCCATGTCTTTAGTTCTGTGTAAGAGAAATGTTCCAGACAGGATCGTGATGAACCCGCACAGTTCTGTAGCAATTTGTGACGCATTCTGCGAGTCCCAATCCTGTGTTTTATTGTCACCAGAGGGAGAGAAACAAAGTGTACTGTTAGATATTCTGGTGATCATCACCTTCATCACATCAGCCATGGGAATAGCAGTAACATTTACCTTAAACATTATCATGCTGGCAAGGATGGTAAACGAGGTGAACATGACATAGTAGACCGGAGATATGACAGCCGTATTGAAGGTGTCCAATGCCTTCAGAGACATAGAAGGAATCAGTTGCAATTCTATACTTTATAATATACAAGAATATGACAGAGATTAGATGCTGAAATTTCATTATTAGTGTTTTTGTGAGTGCATCATTGACAACAACTATATGTAAATGTATATTTACAGTAATAGGAAAAGGCCAGAGGAAAGCTACCTTATTCAAGTAGTTGATCTGAAGAAGACAACAAGTAATAACGATTATGGTGAAGATCCACGTCTCAAAGTAAACAAACTGGTTCATGCCAGAAAATGAAAGCTTGAGAGCAATGCTAACAGCTTTCACACTCATAACCTGAAGAGGGAGAGATGGAGCTGTGTTACTAGAAGGAAGGAAACCAAAACAGCATCAAACAAGTACATTGAACAGAATGAAACCTGACCGTGAGGGAACCCATGAGGGAGCAAATCCCGACATAAACTATCAGATGAGTCTGGCCATATCGTGGGACACAGTAGAAAATGAGAACAGAAACTGCAATCACAACTAGGGCGGAATAGACTAGGAAACCTGTTCAAACAAAAAAGATTTGTCACAATTAAAAATTTCAGCAACCTTTGAGAAAACAAACCTGAGCTGCTTTGGAGCTGAAAGGGTACCTGGTTGTGTAGCAAGGTGCCATACTTCTTTCACAGATTCAATATTTCTTTCCTGTGGAGCGTGGAGGACTATAGTTGTGGAACCTACAACGCAGAGCACACATCCAAGTACACCAAAGATGTGCAATTTTTCCTGCAGAATGAAATGTGCTAGCACTGCACTGCAAAAATAATGGTTTCCATCACAACCCGATTCCTTCACAGGAAAAGGCAAAGACACAGCAACCAGAAGGGTTGTTTTCTCTGGTCATACCTGAAGATAATGCTTAAAGCTCCCAAGGGAGTCACCAGAATCGCAGGGGCGAATGCATAAGCAGCAAAATTAGCTATCTCCCCCAAAATCACTGTACATAACAAAGAAAAGGAAACAGGATACGTAAGAGTAATTTCAGATTCCAGATTGATTCATGTCAAACAAATAAAGGAAGAAGAAAGATGGAATCAAACTGTAGAATGAAGTAGCAAACTTGTGAAGTCGTGAGAGGGAACTTACTAGTAACCATTCCAGCCCACCACCATGGTTCATACAAGTAGGAATAGCCTCCCTCACCTACACCGAGCAACAATAACAGAACCAGTTACTATAGGTTTAGGATCCCAATTCCCATCATAGTTAACCACCACAACACTGAAAGAAAGAAATAAAACTTCATGGTTCAGGGCAAAGGGAATGAAATAAAAGAACATAATTCAGACCTGCCCTGGTTCCAGAGTCGCCAGCCTTCTTAAGGCCCTTCTTCTTGACAATGAAGCTGGAGCCAATGAAAACGCTAGAAGAAACAGCCAATACAAGTCCATGAAGATTATCGCGTGATATCCCCATCGATCAACACAGGAAAACCTGAGCAGCAAAGCAACAAGTGCCAAGATCCCCAATTCCACTTCCTTAAGAGAACTACAACAAAGAACCCAAAAATAAAAAAACAGAACAACCCCACAAAAACAGGATCACAAATCAAAGTCATTCATTTCAATATAGGGTAATCTCACAAACACCATGTGGTCATTAGATTGAATCTCGCCGAACCAAAACACAGATGGGTTGATTGGAAAACCCCACATTTAAGATTGACAAAACGAGACCAACCTGTCTTGGCACCTGCAAAGGAGGCCGAGAGGCAGGGGAAAGGGAGGGACTGAGTTGAGCACTAAAGACGACCCACCTCCATGGCCGTACGAGGCGAGAAGAGCGATTGTTCAATCAATCGTTGTTGTTATTCAGATGGGTTTCATGAGAGATTGGGGAGAAGAGATGGATCAGGAAGCAAAAGTAGTGGAGAAGAAAGGAGGAAAGGGTTTGTGTTGCGATACACAGAGATGGAAAGTGTGCTTAACCTTAATTGCATGGGACAAAGCCAAACACAAAAGAGTAAACGTGGTAACAGAGCGACGAAGAGAAGAAGGTCGAGAGGGTGATTAGAGCTTTAGATGACAACTCAGGACAGCAAGGTCTTTACGTTAATCATATCTGTTTTTGGACAGACTACAAAAGAAGAGAGAAGAAAACAATGGAGAGGAAGAAGAGAAACTAAAACACAAAGCAGAAAGCAAAAAAGGGGATTCAGTATTTGATTGCCTGGCTCTTATTACGTCGTGGGGAAAGAAGGGGAAAATCCAGTCACAGAAAGGGAAAGGAGAAGAAACGGAAAAGGAAAGGGGAAGGCAGTGGAGAGTCCAGTAATTTTGTAAAGAAAGATTTGATACCCTTTGGCTTCCGTATCCTGCGTTCTGTTCTGTTATTTTTATTCCCTTTATCGACTGTTATGCAATATCCGTTTTATGTTTTCTTTGGATATCTGTCGTTGCAGCTAAAAATTCGTTTCAACTTATAAAAACGAATGAAATCTCTATCTTTTATTTTACATTTATGTTTATTTCATGGAAGGAAAATTTTACGGAATTTCTTATACGATCCATATCATCTTATATGTCTCACGACTTTAAGCATTTGATGAGCACTTGAGCAATGTATGACAGGACACGCTTTTCTTCTTCTCCCTCGTCCTTAGGGCTGCAAATGAGCCGAGCTGCTCGCGAGCGGCTCGACGTTCGACTCGACAAAAACTCGTTCGAAATTCGATTTGTTAATAAACGAGCCGCACACGAGCTATGTTTTGTTCAGCTTGTGAAGCTCGTGAGCTAGCTCGACTCGGTGGCTTGTTGAGCTAAACTCGTGAGTTGTCTCGATTAGAGCTCATGATATGTCTCAACATGTGGCTAGAGAGCCAACTTGATTACCGACTCATGGATGAATCAATCTATATCTTATGATTTTAATTCATATGGTTGTTAAATAATATATCTCACCATATATAAAGTTTAACACGTTGAGTACTTGAGTATGTGAGCAAATATATCTTATTTTCTACTTTAAAAAGAAATTATGTATCATAAATTGCTTCGATACTATGAAATAACATGATTTGGAGTAGTTAAAATTTATTAACTAAATGATATATGATACCAATAAAGTATAATATGAGATTAGTTAACAAAATAAATCATATGTATCGTGATATACAAAATGAAGTACCAAATAAAAGTCAAGATTTTAGTAAACAAGGTAGTTCGAACTCGACTCGACTCGGCTCATTAATAAACGAGCTGAGCTAGAGCTCGAGTTCGACTCGTTTATTAACGAGCCGAGCTCAAACTGGGGTAAAACTGGACTCGGCTCGGCTCATTTGCAGTGCTATTCCGTTCTAAATCTATATTAATGGCTTAATTGCAAGATTGGTCACTCGAATTGCTATAAAATTTCACGTTTGCCACTCAAATTAATTTATTCCATTTATAGTCACTCGAATTAGTTGAACAGTTCAAGTTCGGTCACTCTCCGTTAACCTCCGTTAACTTTGATTGACGTGGCGGTCAACTCTGACCGTTGACCGTTAAATGTGTGACGTGGCAAATAAAAAATTAAATTAAATTTTACACATCATTATAAAAAAAATTATAATTATAAAAAAATGAAAAAAGAAATTATCAATTCGGTCAATAAATCGCGTAAATCTAGATGTGTTTACTTTCTTGTTCTAACCCGAAAGCACTAATTTATCCAATCTCATTATAATTTCCTGCCAGATACTCTCTGTGGCTAAAGCACTATCAATTCAAGCGCACCCGGACAAAGAACTGGCGAAGCAGCTCCACAAGTCGCACCCAATTGCTTACAAGGACGACAATCACAAACCTGAAATGGCTTTGGCCCTGTCAGAGTTCCACGCACTTTCTGGTTTCATTTCTCTCCAGGTACTTCTTTCATCCATGTCCTTTTTTCATACAACAAGAGATCTCTCTTACACACAAATCAATTTGTTAATAATTGTCTCCTCCCACATATATAGGAGCTCAAAGATTTGTTACAGAACACTCCAGAGATCAAGAAAGTGGTCAACGCCGAAGATGCAAACCAACTGCTGCAAGTCAACGACGAACAGAACGACGGAGGACTCGAAATCAAATCGAGATTGAAATCCATCTTCGCCCAACTAATGTCCGCCAGCAAGGAGGCGGCAGCTGAGTCAGCGTCCAACCTGAAGAACAGATTGCAGAGGGAAAGCCAGGGGAGGCCGCCTTGCTCGCGCTGCTCAATCTCGCCGTCAAAGACGAACGGTAACGATTTCCATTTTCTTTTCTTTCCTTTCAATTTTTTTCTTCCTTCAATGGATTGATAATTGATTAGTTTAATTAGGTGTTGATTTTGAGGACGATATTGCAGGGAGCGGCAGTTTAAGTTTTTGCGATAATTTCTTTTTTCATTTTTTTATAATTATAATTTTTTTATAATGATGTGTAAAATTTATTTTAATTTTTTAATTATTTTTTATTTGCCACGTCACACATTTAACGGTCAATGGTCAGAGTTGACCGCCACGTCAGTCAAAGTTAACGGAGGTTAACGAAGAGTGACCGAACTTGAACTGTTCAACTAATTCGAGTGACTATAAATGGAATAAATTAATTTGAGTGGCAAACGTGAAATTTTATAGCAATTCGAGTGACCAATCTTGCAATTAAGCCCTATATTAATGTATAGGTTTCCTTGTTAGCTCACGTGCAGTATTAACTTTCCAATTGATTATTTAGAGAAGCTAGTGGCGGTAATTTGTCTTAAAATATTTTTTATATTTTTTTCATTTGCATTGCATCTTAAATTTGAAATTGGATATTATTAAAGCAAGGATAAGGGACTTCTTAGCTTTTTTTCATAGACTGTGAACTTGAGGACTTATAAGTTGGTGATTATCCGTCACAACATACAGATACACATAGTTTTTGATTATGTTCATCGTAATTATATTATGATCAGAAATATTATGCATCACAAATGATACTAATTGAGAAATTAACTGCATCTTAAATATATATAAAAAAGGGTTTGAGAAATTAATCATTGCGATATTTGCGTTAAAATTAGTCATAACCCTTCATTGTTCATTAAAATTAAAATAACTATATCACTAAATTATTAAATCTTTATAGGTATAGCACTAAAATTTTGTTGGGTTATATCTTTTCGTTTTTTTGAAGGGAATGGATACTATACCCTAACGAGTTTTGCTATTTAGACAAAGAATTAATCGGAGTTTGGGACATGATACTATATCTTAACCCCTAATGGGTCCAGTCCCCAATTCACTAACCCAAAGCATGAGATTCGTTTAATCTTAAAAATGAAAATCAACGATCCTGATTTGTCGAAATTTTCATTAATTTTTTCATTTTAAGATTAAACGAATCTCATGATTTGGGTTAGAAAATTAGGGATTAGGGTTTACCCATTAGAGGTTAGGGTATAGTATCATGCCCCAAACTCTGGTTAATTCATGATCTATATAGCAAAACTCAATGGGGCGTACGCTAATTCTACAAATTAAAATTCTAAATCCGACTCCTTAAGGCTAGTTTTTGAGTTGGGTGCATTGAACGCACTCATTTTTTTAGTGCGCCGAAGTAGTCACCATATATATATATATATATTGAAAATTCCATTTCCTACGAAACTTTTGTATTGGATTGATTGAAATTTTCTTGTCTTAGTAAAATTATTTCTATAGTACTTTTTACAACAAAAAAAAAGATAAAATCATGCATGAAGAAGTATGAAGAAAAGTAAAATTTTATCCAACAAAATTAATTAAATAAAATGTTGGTCAACTTTTTCAAAAATACCACCTGCCCAAAGGGCTGGGTTCAAGCTAATTTTTTTGTACTGATCGCTTGTTCCACCCTAACCGTGATTAAATTTTATAAATTACACCTATTAAGTGCTCAATAATATCCAATTATTTATTGGGTCTTCTCCATACCGTCACCCGAATACTTGCTCACAGGAGAAGCTGTTTTTGGTAGATTCTATGCTGTATGTATGACAGGAATATTCTCTGCCGCAACCGAAATTCAACCATTGCATAATTGGCAACAGAAAAAAATAAATATGTTCTACTTTTTTTAAAAAAAAAAGTATTAGTTAAATTTTTCGAAATACAAAATATTAATCAACAATTAATTCTTCTTTAGCAGTTTTGTTGATAATGCACACTTGACAATATGATGATAAGTTAAAAGAGACACATGATGGTTAACATCTAAAATTTAGTACTTTAATAACGAAAAGAGTTATAAAGTTATTTACGGTAGCATACAAATTCCTAATATTTTGATGTGTTACAAAAGATTTGGACGAGACTTATACAAACTTGACTAATAATCTTTTTTTTAAGATTTGATTAATAAATTATATTTACTCAAAAAAAGAATGATTTATTATAAAACTCCGTGCTTAGTAAAACTAAAAAGGTAAATAAGCATGTGTTTGATTGAAAATGTAATAATTTAGGTGGCAAATGTGGCAATTGAGATTAGACCCAAGACAACTTGAAAAGAAGGGGATTTGCTCTTGCTAATAGGTGTGAACTATGCAAACATGAAGAGGAAACCGTCAATCGCCTATTCATTGAGTGTGCTTTTGTTCAACAAGTGTGGAGTGTGGACTGCAATTCAAAGAGGCTATATATATAGGAACTCAGACTCCTGCTACAGATGTTCTAAAATAAATAAAAAATCAAGACCGGACCATTACTTCTCCTCGCAGTATGGATGGCTGGTTCTTTTTTTATATCCTTCATGCAGTTTTCTGGATGGTGTGGTTCGAGCGCAATCAACGCATCTTCAATCAAAATCAAGACACGCCCTTGAATACTGCTCGGAAGATTGTGGAAAATGTGGTTAATTGGATCGTTGCCCATAAAAAGATTGACAGGAATCAAGCCAATCAGTGGATGCATCACACAGTACTGCAGAGAGTTTAATTTTGTTGCATTTGCTCTTCCTGTACGCGTTCTCTGGGTTTCTTACCTGAGAGGGATTGCTGTTGCATTGTGTTTTAGCAGCTTTCTGCTTTTCTTTGGAGCTCGTTTTCTTCTCGACTTTCTTTCCTTTGTCTTCTTTTTTCTTCTTCCTTGTTTCTTTTTTGCAGAATGAGCTTGTCTCGGTTCAACTTTTTCTGGCTGGATCATCTCTCTTGATCCTTCTTGGATTTGTTTGTTTTGTACCTCTGTATTTAATTATAAATTAGTTAAATGTTTCAGTAAGCGAGCTGAGTCCGAGTTCAACTTATTATTATTATTATTATTAAGTTGACTTACTAACCACAGTAGTCAGACTTCTTATGATTTCAAAACGAGACCTCAACAAACCACTTAACTTAAACGGTCAGCTCATTTGCAACTATAATTAATAATGTACCATATTACCACCTACAACAAGATTAGGTACCAAAATTGATAATTTACAACGGAGACATACAGAGGAGAGACGGATCAGGTCAAGAAACCGTTAGGTCAATTCCCGCCAAACAAACTCAACCGTTTTTCTTCTGTTTCTTTCAAATAAATAATATAATAAATTAACGCATCCATCTCCCCATTTTCATGGTCATCATCTTCCTCTTCTTGTTGGCACGATGCTTAGCCGCAACCTTGAGCTTCCTCTTGGCGTTTCTCGTCGGATTCACCACAGCCATCACCTTCTCTTCTTGCTTCCTCTTGTCTCTCTTTGCTTTCATGCTCTTCCTTATCTTGCTGTTAATCTGAACAAATATCTCGTTGCCTACTGCCTTCTCGACGCTTTCGTACACTTCTTTAGCTAGTGGCTTCACATCATCTGAAAAAAATGTCGATCGATTTGTCGATTCAGTCAACACATGTTTCTTTCCCTTTCTTCTTCTTTTCCTTTCGCATACACATAAATGATCAATAGCGGAGAGGGAATGAGTGAACAACACTACTACTTACCGGAGATAACTCTGCCAGCAAAACCTTCAGAGACTTTGTATGAAAGCAACAGCATATCATGAGCATAGTGTTGTAAGTCTCCAAGATCGGTTTGCTGGGATAAACTCTTGTAGCAATCAAGAACTATTTTGGTCTACATGGGAAGAAAGAACATAGAGATTGAACAAACCATCAGGATTTAATAATTATAAATCTGGAAATTATAATAAGAATAGTAGTAGTATTAATAATACCAACCTGTGTATCCTCAGTCTGAAGAGCTATCTCTCCAAGTTTTCTGAGCAAACTGGAAACAAGAAGATACTGAACATCTCCTCCTCCCTCGCCTTCGTCACATTCATCATCTTCAGCATTAGCACCACATATGACATGTAAGAAGGCACCTCTTCCCTTTTTATAATCCAGCAGCTTGAAACCTTTAAGGAATCCACCCTTCTCCTTCAATAATGATGCGTGAGGATCCTCCATTCTGGAGACCAAATCACGGATTTCATTGATGGCAAAGATGAGATTCTTCTTGATGATTTCGCCTGCAGCCTCATCTATGGATCGTGTTTTGAGTTGGCAGCAGAGGGAACCAGCAAGCTGGAAGAGTCTGCTTGGTTTCAGAAGGAAAAAATCTTCATTCACCTCCCTGCTACCCTTCTTTCTGCGGCTTTTTACAGTGGAGAAGTATAAATCAATAAGTCGGCTTGATACGTTGCGCAACCATGTATGCGGATGAACAAGGGACTGGATCACCGATTCCCATAGATCCTGCAAACAGCAACCATTTATAGAAAATTGAAAAGGAGAAAACGGCAGCATGAAATGCTCTATTGCAGCAACTGGAAATACGTCAAACATGCATCAGTCGATGGTAAAAGTCCTCAAGCCAAGGTGGAGGTGGCTCAAACAATTTCGTGACAGAAACATGCTTCTATATTCCTAATCTAGATTGGTGTTGAACGTCAGAAATCCCTTAATGCTACACTGTGCACGCACAGTGGTGAACAAAGACGCGATTAATTTACCCGTATAACAGATGATAACTAGCTCTTATCATAAATGCTATGAAATGAAGGTTAAAATCATACAGAACGTATCCACGACTGATGATGAAGCTTTTCTTAATATAACACATAAAAAGCACCGAGAGCCTGAATAGATTATGCAACTTCTTCAGCAGACGATCATGAGAACAATATATTAATTCCCAAGTAAGGTTTATCATACCTCAAATTTACTCTCAAAGCCTAGTTCAGTGAATCGTTTAACAATCTTCTCGAGGAGAACCAGCGAATAATAAGCCTCTTTCCAATAAGGAATAGATTCATCAGAATGATCTGGTGCTTCAATGACAGCTTCTGAAGCAGACCGTAAAATCTTTTCAATGTCTGGCAAAATAATGTCAATATGTTTCTGGGAGACTTCCTTTGCACCCTCTACAATTAATCCGAGCACCTGCAAACCAAAGTTTAGAGGTGATATAGACATATTTTGGTGAATAAGGAAAAATTGGAGGTTGAAAAGAGATTAGGTTCTTTACCTGAGCACCAGGACTTCGAACTCGTGACCGCTCATCCTTGTACCAAGACAGACTAATGTCAAAAAAGGACCTAAAACTGTTTCGGTTTGTATGTCGGACTAGAAGTTTTATGGCAGTAGCCGCCAAGGAACGGACTTCACTGTCTTCGTCATTGGCCAAACACAGCCCCAAATGGAGAAACAAGGAACCTGCATGCTCATCAAGAAATCTCTGCGGCAATTTCACAATAATGGTGTGAAGCATTCCAAGTACTGCTTTTCTTCCAGATGGATACACATAACTGAAAGGAATCGCAAAGTTTAGTTAAGTCCCAAATTAGGGGTACTGCAAGCAAACCCATGGGGTGATGGGCATGTTGCTATTTGACATATGACTTGTAAAGGAAAAAAGACATAACAGACGAGTGAAAATTAAAAGCAACAAACCTCAAATTTTTTTGCAGAAATTTTAGCTGCTGGTCCAAGTATTTATCTGTAAGTTTGTATTCACGCAAAAATTGCAGAAGAATCTGACTGCATTTCTTTTGAACAGATTCGACTTGACTAGTCACCATGAGTTCTGCTACTCGTAGTATGAGATCATATATTTCAGGAACCACCAACTTCCGTCTCACTATTGCTAACAGAAGTGAGAGCGCAACATGTGAAGGATTCCTTTCAAGATCCAGAAACAGTGGGAACTGAATAAGCATATGCAGTTGATCAGAGGAAAGAGTAACCCTGGTGCTCTGGAGGAGGGCCACCAACAATCTTAGACACGACTCCATTAGAGGGCTGTTAGCATTTATAGAATTCTCAGCAATATCTAATGAAGTGACCTTTATTTTATCAGCCTGAGAAGTAAGCGATGGCAGGGGGAGCCTAACCAGTTTGGTAAGACATCTAAGGGATGCAGACAAAATATCTTCATACTTTGTACTCAGGCAACTACCTAGCAACTTCACAAACGGATCCAACTTTGACAAGAGCTCTTCACCACACTTGCCCGATTTCGGAAGAACCTTCATGTGGTCTTCATCACTCTCATCAGACTTAGGGCTCTTCATGCGTTTATAGAATAAGTCAAGAGCAAACACTGTAATAAGATGTGAGCATGCCGGCCTTGTCTTGACAAATGGAGTAGCAGAAACTCTTTTTCCACGCTGCACTTCTCTGTTCAAGTGTGGCTTAGACCCTCCAATAAAAGTCCCCTCCCCTGCACTTTCTTCATTAATACCTCTTTCAATAAGGATATATATGAAAGTAAAGAGATCAGTTGGATCAACAAAAGGGTTCTTCTCGATTCCAGCAGCTATTTGATTCAGCATGCTCTCCAGCTTTGTTTTCTTTTTCGGCGTTAGATGCTCCTGCATGTGAGCTGTTACAGGCAAAAGAAGTTTTGAGGAAATCCCATTTTCTTTTGAGGAAAATGCAATGCTTTTGAATGAAATATTCTCCGCAATTAATTTCAAGGTATCAAATGACATCCTCTTCCTGGTTTCCTTCATCTTCGAAGCAATCTTATCCACTTCCTTCTCTTCAGCAACATCCCCCAGAATATCTTTCTCCACTACTTGAAGTAAATCCTCTATACAGTAATCCAATTTCACATTTGGGGATGGCGATTTCAGTTTTCTAACCAGCTCCACCTGACCTGGCCTGACCAGTTCTGGGCTGGTATTACCCTCCCTGCCAGTAGCATGGAGTGGGGAGGCATTGCCACTCCTACTCACATCCTCGTTACTATTGTCCGAATTGTCACTTTCGGGAGTTGATAGGAGCTTTGACAAAAGAAAATGGAGAGTATAGCCCAACACATGGAGCTCATATCCTCGTTTTAATGTGCCTTGGAGAACCTTCACAATAAGCTGCAAGTATTCAGGACCAAGCTCCTTTAAACAGGCAGCCAACGCGACCCTTGCTTCATCACGGATGCTCACCATATGACTCTTCAGATGATTTGCAATGCGATGGATAATACTAGGAAGTTGTGCATCCAATCTATCCCCAGGAAGCAACTTTAGAACTTTAAGTGAAACCACACTAATTGTGACATTGACTTTGTCAGAATCTGAACCAAGTAACTTCTGTATCCTCGGAAGAACAACCTTTTGAAGACACTCCTGTATCTCAGCCTCTTCAAGTGCATACTCTTCTACTCCTCGAGTGGAACTGGCATGTGAAAAGTGGAAGTTATCCAAAACAGAACAAGCTAGCCTCAGCAAGATCTTCTGCTTGTCCAGCTTCTTATCCATTTCTTGGAAACACCTCAATAAAAGTGAATAGTATGATTTCCATCCCACATGAGCTGAAATAGAAGCGAGAGCATCTGCATATACACCTTTCATATGCTCTCCTTTCCCAACTTGCACATCAAGCATCATGTTGAAAAAGAGTGGCATAAACACTTTGTTTATAATGCCCTGCACAAAACACATGAAAAATAATATCAGTTCCGCAAATCCTATTTCAAGAATATTAGTCAACCAACAAATTAACAGCAACACTTGCCTCTGACATGCTACTTCCACTGATTTTACTCTTGAACCTTGTGAGCGCCTTGGCCCTCATATGCTTCTGCAATTCCAGCAAGGAATTAGCATATGTTATTATGTCGAAACATACTTGGTAAACATCTTCCCAAATAGTTTTGCATGAAGTCCCCACAAGAACGCAGGCAACCCCCCACCCTCCACAGGAGGCAACACATTTATATGTTTCTTACTCGAAGAAGTGTATCTATATTGAACATTTACCTGCAAATGGATAATATTCTTAAAGAAGTCCTGGTCAGCATCTTCAGAACACAGAGCTCTGAACGACCCAAGATTTGAAACCTCTGGAAGCTTCAAGACCATATCTCGCAGCAACTCAATCCATTCCTGTAATATTGCTCTGATGCATTAAGCAGAAATAAATTCATATTTAAAAAGAACAACGAGATCAATCCCGTTGTAACGGCTTCAATGGTAATGGAATAATAGACGTCTTGAGCTGGAGCAATCAAGCAGAAATAGATTTCACCACACCAGTTTGTGCTTTACCACTGTCATTGGAACTACTAATAATCATGACTTGCTTACCTTTCTAACTGTACTTCCTGCCTTCATAGCCTTTCCTATCTGGTTCAGAATGAATTTGTTTATCATCCGCCGGATGCTTTTACTTGTCCACGAACCCTCTTCATCAGATACGACTGCTTCCTCAGCCTCACCTTTGTCCTTTAATTCACCAAGAAACTGTGCAGAGAATTCAACAAATGACCGCATTGCTCTATAGGCACTATGCCTTACAATCAATTCGTCGGAGGACATATGACCAACACACTGCGACAGAACAATGATTGCGTGATATTCTTTGACACCGTAGAAGAACTCAACCCCGATCGTCTCATAACCCCGAACAATATTGTCATAATCAAGATCGTCCACATCTATTGTGGAATTCAATTTAAGGAGCAGTTCTGCCTGCAACGGAGTTTTGGAGAAAAATTCCATAAGTGGAATGTCCATAAAACCAGGAACCAAGGATCAAGAAATGTAGATATGAAGGGGAAACAATCACGAAGTACTACCAGAAAGAGCAGAGAAGGATCAGTTTTAGCAAGAGCACCAAGAAGATCACAAACAGACACCCGGACATCCAGCTTCGCGGATATAAAAAGAGGTGAGACACAGTTGAGAATTTCTCGGGTGCTCTGATTTCCCAATAATGGCACAGTCTGTATAGTCTCCCGCACAATTTGCAAACACTTGATACAAGCATCTGCAGATAAATAACCAAATTAAGCATCACATAGTGAGTACTGAATGATATTGATCACGTTTATGAAGCACACTCACCAGAATCCTTGACTCGTGCAGCCAAAAGTTGAAGCGAGATGGTTAAAAATTGTTGTGCAGTTGGGAAATCATTCACATATTTTGACAACGATTTCAAAATCCCAACCACTACCTCCACTGCAGATGTGGTCCATTTCCTGGAATGTTGTAGATCAACCAAGGATGAGAGCCTGACATTAAATATGGCTTCCTTCGCAAACATATACTTAGCCACTGATAATTAACTACTGGCAATAGTAGCCCTATCCAATGGGGAGTACTTAAGCAATTGGAACTTTCAAACCAGGCAATGAAGCAATCGGATCTAGCTTATGTGGGATAACATGCACACAGACGTTTCATGAAATGAGTCACCATATTTGACTGTAGATTTCTAAAGAAACTGAAAAAGGGAAGGTGACGGAATTCAAGTTGATTATAATACCTTTTTGTCATCTCATCGCCCTTCAACAGAGAATGCAAACTGCTGATCAGTTCTTTAAGATTCGGAAGAAGAACTCTCTTTATAGCATCGTCTTCATCAACATACTCTTGATCGAGAATCAACAGGTTCTCGATGAACGTGAGAACATGGGACACAATGGCCTCCGAAGCTGTTCTAACACTCAGAATTGAAAAGATACTAGGGACAAGACTGTTTTCTCGACACAGTAATGACACCAAATGGTGACTTTTACTCATAGCCACAAAACAAGAGAAGAGTGAGCTTGGCTTCTCACTACTAGAACCTTGATGCTTAAAACTGCTAATTAAGGGTTTTACAGATGAAAAGAACATATCCCAGAATTCACACCCAAAGTCATGGTCGTAGTACTTATTCAGAACGCCGGAGACAATTTTCAAGCACAAAGACCTCAAGTGCTTGAAATCCTTCGTCATAGAGACCACCTGCACAAAAATAAATATATAGTAATCTAACTAGGAAATTCACCAACCATAAACAACACCATAAAATGCAAGAATGGAGGAACGAAGTATAGTAGTAAAGCACAAGTTAAATTCAATCCATCACTTTTTCAGAGAGCAAAAGCATCACTAGCAAGATAAATGAACAATGTGCACCACAAGTCATTAGTCAACTGTTTAAGATTCAGTGCCTATAGGCTTACCGGTGTTTCATCCACTGCAGCTTCTTCTTCCTCACTTTGATCAGTTTCACCTGCTCCCTTTGGAGCTCCAAGACATAATGAACAGCTCACCAGTAGCCGAGCAACACAACCCATTAACAGATTGAGGAAAGGTCTGATATGCAATTCATCAAATTCTTCAAGAATAGCTTCAATCACATGCACAAAACCATATCTCTTGTCCCAGGAGAGGCCCAAAATATTTTCATTCGTAAAGTACTTCAGGAAGTTTGAAGGTTCAAATTGATGCATCGAATTCTCCGGTGCAGTCCAGCATAAAATTGCAGCATCATCAACTCCTCTAGGTAAGATGTCCAACCGTTTTACTAATGATGCATAGAAAAGAGATATTTCATTGATGTCAAGTTGTGCCATGAAGCGAAGAACTTCCTTCCGGAGACGTAGACTTGCATGCTAACAAAAACAAACATATGGGTCAGTTGATCAGAAGAAAAGAGCAACATAAAAATGTAACTCAATTGCTATGATGCTGTAGATTGCAAGTCTTTGAACGTTAAAACTTTTGAATGTAGCATACCTTCCGAGATGCAAGACTCCTCAGATTTGTCACTTTTGGCATCAGAAGAACGATAATGAGAGGCACAAGATTCGGTCTGTGAAGTTCTTCAATGGGGGAAGATTCTCTAGATATGCTCCAGGTTGTCAGTTCTTCTCTTAAAGTTTTTGGACTAATTAAGTTTCTTAGATGATCCTGATATGGGACAAGAAACTCATCCTTCCATGTTAAGAGGCAATCAAGAACATCCATTTGTACATTGACATCGTTGTCATCCATCAGCCTGGCAAAAGCACCAATCAAATATTTTCAATTTTAGGACAAACAAAGTAATTTACTACAAAGATGAGTTGAACCACCAAATCCATTGCCAACCTAATGCATAGAATGTCTTTCACAAATTGAGTCATGTACAAGGCCTTAGGGTTCTTCATAAGTTTCATTAAGTTCAACCAGTCTTTGAGGATCCCTTTCCACTCTTTGCGTCTGCAAGCATCTGGGTTGAATGATCCTACACTGCAGTCCAAAATTGAACAAAAGCGAGGAGCGAGTTTAGAAGCGAAAGAAGCAAACCAAGAGCAAGATCCATCAAAGGTAAATCAGTACCCAGCACCAGGTAAAGAGATCATAAATGTAATTGGCTGTTGGCAGATGCTGAAAAGTATTATATGCCTACCTTTTGAGATCATCATCATTGTAACCCAAGAAATTCAAGAATAGAGGTACAATAGATCGAGAGCGGGCTTCAACGATGCAAGGAATTCTTTTTATGGACTGGAGCAATAATGGAAGGACCGATGAACCAAGGGTACGTTCAGAGGCAGATGTGACAAATGAATGAAAACGCTGTGACAAATCTGAACATCAAAGCAAAATAGAAGCAATAGCATCAGTGAAACAAAACATCACATAAAATGTTTAAAAAAAAGAGTGATCAGCCATGCAAAGCATAAAAAAATCCCCCAATACTTTTCTTAACATTTTAAGACCTCATTGTACCAAGCATACTGGATTGTGCAAGTTATGTTTCATTTCAAGCTGTGGAATCAAACACCACAAAGTTCAGGCAAGCAACTATCCAGAAGACAGTAGAGCTGGTGGGACATACCACTTGACGATTCAGCTGATAAAGCAGTCACTCCATCTTGCTGAGACTGGGACTTCAGAAACAGACTTTGAAAATGTTGGAAGTAGTATAAAAACTGGTCCCACAGAAGCTCTACGTTTTTGTTAATTAAAACTGCAAGGCATTCAGATGCTGGATTCCAGAGATGACTAAAACCATTGTGAAGGATGCCGATCATTCCACTCAAAACGACCGGCAGATAAGTTTTAGATATCCTCCCAGCAACAAGATCTGTCTGTATAGCAGAGATCAGTAAGACAACTTTCCTACTGGTATGTGATGAGAGAGGAGTTTCTTCGATCGTGCGAAGAAGCTGGAGTGCCTGATATAAGAAGATACAAGTGATTAGATCAAGACTTCTAATAATAATTGTCAGAATGCAGGGGTACATACATTACTGGGAGATCTATCAACATGAAAACTCTGGGCGGCTTCAATTTTCATTTTCTTCGCAGGAGGTTGGTCATTGGACGAATCCGGTTGACCTTCTACTTCACAGTGACACAGAATTTTCAGAGTTGAGAGACGGACATTCTTGTCTGGGTTGGACAAATTATCCACAAACTCTGTATTTAAGATTTTAGTAGAGGTTTCTGCTTCGGCTCCATCCCTGGCAAATGAATGAATGCAAAGATCTTAACACCAAAGATTCTATGCAGAACCCATGTGTATGACTACTCGATGCGAAAAGTAATTCTTTACAGCCAACTTAAACAGTGAACATGCGAAACCTACCGGAGGATCACATCCAGACAATCAGCACACGCAGCTAACACTTGTGGTGATGCCTTGTGTGCTCTAGCAGTTTCCAGAACATAGCTGGTTTTCTCAGGCCCAGGTTTCTCACTGAGCATGACGTAACAACTTAGGGCAGCACCAACAAGGCTTTGCCAAGTTCGTCTATCAGCACCTGCAATATTTTCTGGCAGGACAAGGAAAACAACTGAGACAAGGCAAGAAAAGAAAAACAATATGATGCGACTTATATTCACCCTATAGGCCTCCGTGACACAATTTGACACTTTTCTACATAGGATTGACAGGAAAATATTCGTCCTGGAAATCTTACACCAATAAAAAAAATTAAAATCATACGAGTTTACCATAACTCGCTGTTTTTAAGGAAAATTTTAACAAGGGGTCAATTTCCAAATGTGTAAACCTTCAATAAGATTGATCTCAGCGGAAATATGACCAGCAACTTCTATTTTTTGCGTTAAATGATGCTCAAGGACATATTACCAGCTTCATTCATCAGTAGGGCTTTTAGTGAATCCATCAACTGCATTATCAAGTTCGCATCAGCTCGAATACCACTGACATGAGGATAGCAGCACATGGCTCCCCATACCAATGGCAATTTGTCCGTATCAACCGTACATGACTGACCACAAACAGCACCATTCACTTCAGCAACACAGCCCTTTATGGTCCGCACAAGAAAGTCGTGAATTTTGCAAAGTGCAGGGCCAGAAGTTCCATCAAACAATGCTGAAGCAGGAGACTCATTTTGGAGTCGCTCACAGAGGCACAAAAGTAGATGAACAACATCTACCTGGTAGAGCTCTATCAAGTTATTCATTGCTCTGAAAGTTCAAGAAATTAAGTAAATGTAGGTGAAATTCTGTTAACAAACGAGAAAGCAAATACAAAAAGCCAAAAATATAATGTAGGGCTTAACCTTAAGATGCCAACTTGAAATACTTGTACTATACGCAAATCCTTCTCCATCAGTCCGCTGATAAATTCCAAACAGCTGAAAGGCCAACCACGCATGTTAGAGGATGGAACTGTGAAAGCAAGCCACAACGAACAGCAAGCATAAAAGGTCAAACTGTGGAATTCAAGAATAATACCTCTTGGTTTTAAGGTTGAAAACAGGATCCCATTGCAAGGAACAGTAAGCATACTTGCATTCATCATTCAAAGATTTCAGTCCATCAAGAATACATAGCATTAACTGCAGAAGATTATCGACAATCCCTGATAAATCATTCTCTTCTTTCCCAGCACCGAAAGGCTTGATAAATTTATCAACAACTGATCCAACACATTTTAGCATTGGCTGGTAATCTGCAAAACATGTCAACCAGTTTTTAGTCTGGGATAGAAGAACAATTTATTGTCGCAACGAAAGCATAACAAGATAGTATAGCAGTCTCAAGAGTATTTTATCCTTTTCAATGGAAGTACACTTCACTTTGGCGAAGTCATTATCAATGGACGCAGCATGAAAAAAGATGATATATTTTTACACCTTACCAGGAACATGTCGACCCTTGTTTATCTGTACCATTGATACCAGCAGTGCCAGAATTCGACTAAGATGCACCAAGGACGTATCTCTTACACAATAATCCATGTTGTTATACAGGCAATCCCACAGAAAGTTTAACTCCTTGATCTCTTGGTCTTTGCACAATCTCTGGATCGTACTACTTACAACATCAACAACTGAATCTACAACAAAAGACACAATTCTGTCACATGCATAAACTACGGCCAAATTATGCACCATCAAGATGATTGCAAAAAGAATTTTCATATCACAAAAATTAAATCGTAGTGTTGACAATATGGTAATGAATGGCTCAAACAAGTACAAGTTGATTGATCAGCAATGCTATGCCCATATTAGGATGCTCGGAAACAAACTTTATTATGTTTTATCTGTTGACAAATTAATGCATGATAGCCAGAAAATATAATCATTAATCAAGAAAGAAGACTCCTACTAGTGTATAAGATAACTGTAAGAAGTGGCCCCGCCATATGTCACTGGTAGTTAGATTATCAGCAAATTGATCCATTGCTTTTTGAATAAAGATTACAAAGATCAACATATAGGGGCAAAGCAAGGTGGCACACAATTTACAGATTGTCACCAGAGACAGTAATGAAGCACATACTTCAGAATGTAGTTACCTTGGTTATGATTCTTCAGAAGATCACCAATTAACAGTTGCAATATGCGCTCAGCTTTTGAGTGAAGACTGGATGACGTTACTTTGGTAGAATAATAAAGTAGAGCACTAACACCATCATTCCGTGCAAGTGATGGGTCGTCTACAGCCTCACCTATGACCTCCTTGACTCCTGTGATTAAAGATAAATGTTAACAATTTTGCATATGCCAACTTTAGCAACTTAGGTCACAGCAGCAACGGTATCCAAGATTGTGAAATTTGACTTTTACAATCTAGTGAAAAGCGGAGAAAAGATACCAAAATGGTGTATTTACACTGAAACTACTCCACGAGTTACTTTAAACATTTACTAGAGATATATTGTTTCCTGCTCTTTCTCATGTAACAGCAAGAATACCAACATTGGTCATATAAGCACAGGAAACATATTAGCCTTAACTACTGATCAGAATATGCAACAGATATTGTTTACTGGTGAACAAAACTCAGTAAGTAGCAAAACAAAACACCTTGTTCCAACTGCTTGTGAGGAGCATTTCTCAGCAAGAAGGAAGTAGCCTCTGCCATAAACCTTCTTACATATTCCTTTGGGTAGTATCTCAATCTTTGTGACACCCTATTGAGAAAAAGGAGATAATTATTATGAATAGATTTAAAAAAAAAATAATCAACTGATCTACCCAAGAAAGGTAACTCTAGAGAATATAAGTGCAAGCATTGAGAGTTCTCCGTTCTGATGGATGGGCATGGTAAAAAGGGGCTAATAAGAATAGCTCCAAGTAAAGGTGTTGAGAAGGCAAGGAAAAAGAAATATGACAGATAATCTCAGAAGCACAGATCAGAGGAGCATGCATAAGAAACGGCAGTGTAAACACACATAAAAATCTAGAATGAAATTACAGAGCAAATCATTTAATGCCAAGGCACTTACTTTAGTATCCCCACAATGTCCATTGTAAGCCACCCCTGGAGGTACATTAGAATGTATGACCACGTTGTGAAAATCTGCATACAAAACATACCTTGAGTTGACATCGCCAGTTAACAATAACCACGACAAGGACTTACAATGCAGTAGATGATTGCACACACCTGCTCGAGAATGTCCGGATCCTGGTCAGCACCACTTTCCAGTAGGGAGACCAACGAACGAACAACCCTTGGCAAATAGCTAATAGTGAAGCACAAACACACAAGTCAAAAAGCGCAAATACACAACCATGGGGCATTGCAGAAAAGTTACCAACATAATTTTAAGACAAAATCCTGAGCAAGCAGCCTGCACTACTATTCTATCTCCCTCGTGGTAGGGTTTTATTGCACTTACAAAGATAAGTGAAGTTGACACATCAATCACTTCTAAAACCACCTCCATTTACTACTCTCATTATCTTCATCCCATGGTTTTTAATAGGACATCTCACAAACCTCTCATAAGATTTTGTTTCAACAGTATATGCCCGGCTGCGATTGAGAATGACCAGCTTGTCTTATGTAATATCTAGTGTTTTCTATTTACAGAGTGACCCATTCTTCAAGTGCCCATTGCAGTTTAGATATTATAGCTCACAAGCCCCTTGGTAAGTATAAGCTGTGTCAAGGAGATTACAAGGCCATCAATGCTCGTCCAAGACTACTAAACTACTCACATTTAACAACTAGTAAAGCTGAAAGACTTGCAACTACAGTCGATAAATATCCACCCAAAGAAAACATCAACATGAAGGTGAATGATGAAAATTAAATAAAAAGATCACAACGAACTATGCAGAACTGCTGAATTGCTGAAACAAGATACTCACACAATGAAGTCTTCCAGGAGATCTCTAGATAGAGCTGCAGTCAACCTATCCAATCAGCAATTTCTTAATCAGAGACAAAAGCAAGCTAAGGAACTATACGATATAAAAGACACTATTAAATTAGTCCGCCAACTAACAAGCTGGGCATCAAAATTTCATATAACAACAATATGCATGAAAAGTAACATCATTAACAAAACCACCTTACAGAACTAGTGACTGGTCACAATAACTTATTTCTTGGCCAGCCATCCATCAACTTACAAAATGACCTTCAGCCCATGCCAGGTTGTCCTATGGGGAAATCTAAGGTCATTGAATCTTTGGATGACAAGATACTGATAGCAAATAGGAATAATGACGCCACTATTTGTTTCAACTATTCCAGTTTTGTATTTACCCATTCTAAGTGGCTACTTCCTACTGGCCACAGTGAGAATCCTGAAGTTCAAACAAGGGGTTTCTGCACTCGGTTCAAATTCTATGTCACTTCTATAGCGCATGAACCTGGTCTCAGCTCCGCTCAGTAAATCATAAGGATTTCACGTTTACTTACGACAGGCAAGAAGCCTTTACTAATGGAAGATATTAGTGCACCAGAAAGGGTACAGTCGACTTCATGCCCACACCACATACACATGAGTTCACATCACAACTTTAAACAAGCTACCGACATCAAGTAAACGGGTGACAATTAACAATTAACTGAATTGGAGAGTAAATAAGTAGTGATTTACCTGAGAATCGGCTCAAGAGATAGGCGTGCTTGCATCTGTAGTCTGGATAGCAGCGCCGAGACAATAAATTCCTTATGCAATGCCAAGGATTTCGAACTCTGTACTAAGGGCGACATTTCGTCATAAAGAGTAATGAAGTCTTCAGCAGTGTTCAATTCCTGTATGTTCAAATTCGAGGAATTAAGAAGAAGAAGAAAAAGAGCGCAGAACTTATATATTTTGAAACTTTTGATCAAATTGCAGGATTCCTGAACCACGTCAACGGGCCCAAATCAGCAGCCAATGGAAGGGGTGAAAGTACTCCTTATTAACTAACATCTTAAAACCTCCAAAGAACACACTAGCCATGATAATTGGACTAGTTGATAAGAAACTCTAGCAGATGATCTGTAAACTAACAAGTCCGGGACATTGGCAACAGAGCAGGAAATCAAAATGCTAATCTTAAAGACCGTACCCTCCATTCCTTCAGGCAGTCGTTGAAGAAAGTCCCACAGGAAGGCTCCGGCTTGATTCTATCAAGGCTTCTGAAGACATTAACTTCAAGTCCTTCTATTTTCTGGGAAAATGACTTGAACTGCGCAAAACCAACCAACGAAACAAAAATATCCAGGTGAACCACGGTGGGAGAAAAACGAACAGCTGTAAAGTGGGAGAATGATTGAATTCCTATTCAATTGAGCTTCTTAAGCCGGACTCCTGAGTTAAAGCTTAACTTTGCCCCATCACCAGTGCGGCAAGCAGACCAAAAAAGCTCAAACATAGTTCTCATCTCCGATGCAACGAACAACAGCTTTCCTGCAGCCTTTTCAAGATAAAGAGCCGGAGGGCTTACCACAAACCGGCCGCGACCAGCGGACTGGTTGAGAGACTTCACAGCCACAGCATGGGAAGGCGTCGCCATTAGAAGAGAATTTCTGCTTCTCCCTTCCTTCTTTCTTCTTCTTTCGCTCGCCGGAGAGCTGCTTTACTTGAACCTAGGCTGTGGCGGCACCTTTGGCGGAGTAAAAAGTATAAACCCCTCGCCGCCGCCCTTAAACCCTTCACTAGATGCACGATTTCTCTCTCGTCGCCCGCCGTCCTTAGGTTATGTCCTTTCTCAATTCTCAACGGACTACTTACGGAGTTACGGTTATAAAACTACAGCCGGGTCGGACAGTGGGTTGGACCAGATCGATAGTGATACCACTAACCAACTGGGTCAATAATGCCCGGTTCAGCCTCAGCTCATACTCTGCCGACTTGCCTGGTTGACTCCAAAACTACTACTTTTTTTATGACAAAAAACTCTCACCACATTGGTGACGCCTCAAACATGCTAAACTCTAGGTCGCCGATCATCGATCGGATCTTAGGTAACCAGTTCGCGGAACGAGAGCGGGAGCGGGAGCGAGAGCGTGAGAGCGTCATTTTCATAAGAATTTAATTTCGAGAGCGTGATGAGAGCGTCATTTATTATATAATTTTTTATTTTAATATACTTGAAAAGGTAGTATATAGAAAACTATTCAAATATATTTATATTAACAAGTAATGAACATAAAACATTAATGAATAAATGTTTAATTAAATGGAAGTGTAGGTATATTTCACAACAACATTTAGAATTTATCAACCCTTCTTTCCATTCTATCATGTCATTAAATTATAATAATTTGGAATTTAAATAAAAACTAAACGAAAGTTGAAGATTACTGCACAAAATTATAGAATCCAAGATTAAATGGTCTTTGGGCTTCCCATCCACATTTCTGTTCCAAAAGCCCATTGTTCCGTTGATGAACCCAAACAAAAGTGAATAATTCCTTTCCACATCTAATGTCTTTCCTCATTCTGAAGCTTGGTGTCGGTTCTTCTTCCAGTTCACCGCCGACTGCTGGTCGCCAAATCTCCCCGACGCGAAGACCCCTTATTCCTACAGAAGGAAGTACTCCTCCATCCCTTCAAAATACAGATCACTACTTGCTAGTAGCTCGTTCCTTTTCAGTCCAACCATCGCTTAATTAGTCGGCAATCTCCTCCGTCCATTAAGAATTGATTGCTGCAGTATTCTCGGTGAGTCTATTCCCACTACCCCGGCAAAGCCAATGTCTGAAAGGGCCACTTTAATCGGATTCTCGTTCTCCCTCAACAAACTCGCGATCCCGCAAAAGTAATTCGCGCTCCCAGCAAAATGAATTCGCGTATTATACACGAATTGCCGAAAATTCGCGTTTTAGCGAATTGGAGCGTGAGCGTGGGCCTGGAACCCACGAATTGGGTATCCTAAATCGGATCTCTGATAGCTGGTCAGTGAATGCTATTAAAACACTGTTACACCATCTGTCAAAAAAAAAAGAACATTGTTACACCAACTTGGCGAAGATCAAAGACACGAAAAGTCTTACCTGTAAACAACAAGTCTAGGAAGAATAATGTTATTATTATTTCTTCTCATCATACATGCGTAATCATTTTGTTGATCATTAGGTAAAAAAAATTCATTGAAAGGGAATTAAACTTTTGGTCCATATTGTAATGAATACTAAAGTCCACCAATTGGTGGCAAACAATCCAAAGATTATGTTAATTAAATTGGATCTCGGTTCAATAAAGACGATGAACTGAGCAATCAAAACCTTCAAAACTACATTGACATATATAATTGGTAACAAAACAAACCATAAAGGAAAAGGCGACCCAAAATGAATCAACGCACTCAAACTACTAATTATGAACTTGATAACATTGAATCTCAAAATTTCTCATAAATCTTTCAGTCAAGGTTGAAACATGACATCTAGAGTTTAGCTTATCGATTCATGGAGTGGGAGCAAGAGCGATTGCATGAGTGAGTGCAAGAGTGTAAAGCGTATATTTATTGATCCAGGGGTGTCCAAGTGACTGGGTTACGGATCGCGAGGGGTGGTCGGAGTGACCCTTGGGTGACCAAGGTGACGTGGGATTAGGGACCCTGAGGGTGGTTGAAGTTACCCCAGGATGGCAGAGGTGACCCAACCTGGTTGACTCCAAGAGTGGTCAGAGTGGCTCTAGAATGGCAGAGGTGACTCGACCTAGTTGACTCCGAGAGTGGTTGAAGTTATCTCGGGGTGAGCAAAGTGACTCTAGGTGATTGACTCTGAGGGAGCCCTAGGTGACCTGTGGGTGGCCAGAGTCATTTCGGAGTTGCCAAGGTGCGAGGTTGATGGATCATATGGTGGCCAGAGTGACCCTGAGGCGGGATAGCTGGAGTGGCCCCAATAGTGAGGTTAAAACCGATCATAAAACGGGGGAAAACAAAATCTACATTCCTAAAAATCACAGAGAAACTTATAAAGCTTATGTGGCAAAGACATTTTTTTAAAGCCTTTTAATATATTTTAGGCAAAATATTCTTCTATAGCCACAACTTTCATGTTTGTGGCTGATAAATACACGAAATAGCCAGAATTTTGATAGTTGTTTGCCAAATCAAGCCATTTCCGTTACAAACTTTAATGGTGTTAGAGATTTCGTTAGTGAGGCTAACAACATGCTGACTAGGATGCCAAATTGACACACACTTTAACGACAACTCAACCTTACTTGCCACGTCATAATTTCTTTAAAAATATTTTAGGCAAAATATACTTTCATACCCACAACTTTCACATTTGTGACAGTTATAACCACAACTTTCACGTTTGTGACAATTGTAGCCACAATTTTTGAAATACAAGAAATAGCCAGAATTTTGATGGTTTTTTTTTTACAAATCTAGTCATTTCCATTACAAACTTTTGAAATACACGAAATAGTCGCGACCTTGTCCTTGATTTCTTCTCAGGGCTATGTTTGAGAGGGAATGCAACGAATCGAGCCAATTGACACCGATGAATGAGCTTCACCGAAAACAAGAACAGCTGCACCCACAACGGTCTCGAGGAATTTGAGGGGAAAATGTACTACGAGCCGCCACATCCTTCCTTCCTAACCAATCGTTCTCTATCTCCACCGGAGACACTGTCTCCTCTTTCACCGCCGCTTCCGATGCCTTCTTCTTCGCGGTCGTCGTCAGCATCTTCCTATCAGCTTTTTGCCTTCTTTCTCTCCATTTTTTAGTGACTCTGCCAAGCGTTCGGGGCTTTCTCCTTCAATCTAGCGATTGGGGATATGAATCAGCAATTTGGGAAATAAGGCCTCATTCTCCAGTCATACTATTAAGTGACACCATGAAAAGGATGACATAGGTTGATAACTTGTGGTTATAACTGTCACAAACGTGAAAGGTGTGCCTACAATTGTCACAAATGAGAAAGTTGTGGCTATGGAAGTGTATTTTGCTTTTTATTTGTTAATCCACGGGGATCGCCTACCCAGCATTTATGTCAGTCCAATCATACTATTAAGTGACATCGTTAAAGGGATGGAGGAAAGTGGCTATTTTATGTTTTTTGAAAGTTATGGCTATAATTGTCACAAACGTGAAAGTTGTGGCTATGTAAGTGTATTTTGAATGAGGCAGTATACAAGCGTAACAGAAGAATCATGTACTCTTTTTCCTTCACTAGGTTTTTATCCCACAGGGGGTTTCCTAGCAAGGTTTTAGCGAGACATATTCTTAATTAATGGACATCCAAGGGGGAGTATTGTGAATAATAATGGATGTCCATCTATCATGCATCTACCCAACCACCATCTCCTAACCCCCATCAATTATAGTGGAGATGGAGAATGGATATGCAAGCATTGGTGCCTATATAAAGGCAAACTTGTAGAAGTCAAAGATATACACACCAAGCTATTTCCCTCTGTGTCATTCCATCTCATGTATCGATGTTCTGATATATGTTCCAGAGCATGGAATAAAAGTGGTGTTACTCCTTCTCTTCTATTTCGTGTTAATTGTGTTATTTATTCCCATCGTCGAGATAATTATTCATAACACGTTATCAACATGATTGCTTTACATGCTCATGTGATACAATCCTAAATTCCTCCCTAGTTCATTCAGGATTGATCGTCAAAGATTCAAAGTTAATCCGTAAAATTTGCTTAAGTGTTTTTGACGATTTCAGGTGTCAACTTTGGACGAGCATAACTCGCTATTGGCTTGGTGAAAACTCGAGTTCTTGGGCTGGATTTGAACAAGAAGAACTGCTCTTTCCAATGGCACACTTTGGCGCTCAAGCGGAAGTCGAGAAGCTAGTCTTTCATGTCGATCAAGAAGCTAGCTCAACATCGGAAGGATAGCCAGATTTGTCTAAGTGTTGAACCGTGATCGAGGAGTCACCTTTGGAGCTTTCATGGGTTTGCTTGCTTAGCTGTGTGCAGGTAGTGCATGACCCGTAGCCAGCCGGGGGGTTTACTACCGTTAGATCCGGAGCTAGAACGCACATGTCGCCAACTAAGGAGACAATAGCGAGCGAGACTGGATACGGAGGAAGTGCACGTCGACAGCCATCTAAGCAGCGACTCCGAAGAGGAATACGAGATGGGCGACGAGCACAACAGGGGGAACCTTAACCTGGGGCATAATCAACCCCTTGGGATGCCCATGCAGGTTCCCCCAGTGAATAAGATCCTGGGGAACAACCCAATCCCCCAGGCAGATGGGGCTCAGCATCCACCATCCGCCCCGTTATCCTATATCCGCCCATCCTAGCAAATAATTTTGAGATCAAGCCATGATGGATTTAACTGATCACATCATTTATCTAGTTCCATGGCTTGAAGAATGAGGAGGCGAGGGTGCACCTTTCCTAGTTCCTGCAGCTGACAAATGGATTCAAAATGAATGGTGTACCCGATGATGCGATCCGTCTCCACCTTTTCCCCCATTCTCTGGCGGGGCATGCGAAGAGGTGGTTAGAGACCTAGCCCCTACTGTCCATCACGTCGTGGGACGACTTGACCGACAAGTTTGTGCATAGGTACTATCCAGCCTTGAAGACCACGGAGATTCAGTGGGAGATCACTCATTTCCGCCAGGAGCCAGATGAGTCACTACGTGATGCCTAGGAGCGGTACTCGGGATTCTTCTGGCAGTGTCCCCATCACAATTTTAGTGATTCATTTACAGTGGGGAATTTCTACAGCGCTCTGACCCTAGAGAGCCAGAGGGTGATCGAGTCTC